ASYRGYACRTACGMGATGTAACTGGGCCCCCCGGGACCAACGCGCGCGCGTCCCCCCTTCAATAACCAATGATTCTAAAATGTGGGTTATTTTACACAAAAAATAACCCATGTTTTGCAACGAGTACGTACGTAGCAACAGTACATGGCATTAGTACGTGGGATCAGTCGTGAATCCCCGGGACCAAAAACTATGATATCTATTACTTCGTACATAGGTCGAAAGGTACATAGTACTACTATATGAGTACCAGGTATGCTGCCGCCGTAGAAAATATKCGGCCTCCTCATTTTCTGTGGCTACTATTGGTAGCTGGCCTGAAAGGATATCTGGTACTACATATCACTGAGAGGTCTKGTTGTGGTTTCGTACCATTCCAAATTGCAAATTCTGGTGAAGCAGCCACAGAAAATCACAGAATGAACCTAAGGAAGCCTTCTAGATCCTAAATCATTGCACAGACCTATTCCCCTACCTCAGGGGGACTTCTCACAAGAAATCTGGAGGAATTCATTGGGAAATCAAGGAAGCACATACAAAACTTGGCCCTARCAACTGCTTATTTAGCCAAAATCCCTTGTTTTGCCAAATTTGGTACATAAGATTTTWGTCCAGCCTGTCATTACAAGTAAACACCCATGCCTTTTTGAGGACCCTACTCCAATAAAGGGATAGGTCAGACTATCTATGATAAAGAATATAGTGGAAAGAAACTGCTTCCTTATCCAAAAAACACTGTTTCAGGACCTCTCAAACTTTTTATTACTGGAATGCTTGTTTTGATGAATGCCTCTAGGAGGAATCCTGTTCATTTTTGCTAGCAGAGATCGGGCAAGCTCCCCGTGGCAGCATTAGAGGTAGCGTTCGACGACCCCTGCATCAACTTTTGCTTTGAGCCATCGTGCTCTGGCAATAACAACATCGCGGTTTATCCAACGATCTCTCAATTCAGAGGTAGAATCATTCTTTTGGAGGCATTCGTCACCATCACCGACCCTCCCGCTGCGAACAAATTTATCATAGGGTTTCCCTGTTTCCGGGTTTGTTTTCCAAGATACAGTAAGTGGTGTATATCGATGCCGTTCTTGTTTCATCGCATGAAACGTGCAATGGGGTACGACCCTCGAAACAACTTTGTCCAGATAATGATCGTCGGATACCACACTATTGTCGTCCAGTAGAAACTTCGCTATCCGTTTGGTTTCTTTCTCCAGGTCGTTCTTCATATCTTCGTAATGCAATAGGAGAAAATTGCTCCTGGTAGCTTCCGCACTAGTAGGTTGCTCTCCCAACCAGGCCTCGATGTGGTCTTGCCATTTTCCGTACAGAATGGTTCCGTCCATAAACTCTTCGCAAAACTCTCCGAAGGTTCCGGTGTAACCACCATCCTCCACGGATTGATTGGACAGGTGGTGRTAAAAACTAATCATGACATCGAGTGGATCACGCACAACATACACACGCTTGGCATTCGCAGGTAATTGATTCGGGCGCAAATGGGTGTTGAACACGCGATATTCATCGTCTGTCTCTCTCCCCCCATCGYGAATCCGTATWGGTGTCCGAACGGGTAAACGTTCCATAACTTGTTCGGCGGGATCAATRTTGTCGCTGCCGTTCGGTTGYGGCTGAATGGGTTTCCAGTATTGGTCTACTTCATAAAATGGAGCGGAATGAGACAAGTGCCAATCTTCTGGCAAAGGGCGACCCGCATTTGCGATTTCCCACAGCAACCGAACGACAATGTTTTGAGTCCACGTTGTTCCGCTCTTTGGATACGAGCAGATAAATACGTCTCGAGACGGAGATGTTTTCAGCGCTCGACATGCACGCACAGTCTGGTCACTTGTGATAGGCAAGAGCGGCATTTCCGGTAGAGAGTCACCGACGTGGCAATGATCATCGGGCAACATCTCGGGGTTCAACGGCGCCATTCCGTCTCGTCCTCGGCTATCAGAAATGGAACTCTCGATCGCTTTCGGCAAAACTATGACGAAAATTAGTAGGCGCCCGAATGTTCTAAGCGGCAGCGCAAATCTCCTTGTAGCGGCAGGCATGAATGCAATGCAAYGCATGTATTGATTACTGCAGTAGAACTAGAGTATTTTGAAGTTAGATTCTGTTCATGCTAAGAATCTGGTTCGGAGTCCACCGACTCGACTCTTTCTCGTATTCGTGCTCGCGGATCGCAAAAGCTCGTTCTCAAAGTGGTACGAGATACGCTTGTTTCATGTTTCGTTGATCGTTTACTAGTACTGTGATCGTTTAATCCATACGTATGGTACGTATCCAGGTACCGTATGTACTCGACAAGTATTCCATATTCCACACCGTTTTGTTGAAAATCTTCGGTCCGTAATTCGTCCGGCAAAATGGAAATTTAGGTTGATTCTCAAATCTCAACAATAATTGATGTTATTGCCTACCAGCTATCACATACAGTACAATGCAGGTATATTTTGAAGAAATAATACCTGATACAGTAATTAGCAGGAATGAAACAAAATTGGAGTGACAAGGAACAACAAAAATAGCATTGACGCCTCAAATAACAACGAACCCCCCCCCATGAATTTTCGCTTGGTGTTCGTCCTCGCTCCTTGCTGGTGCCCAGTACCACTTAGTAGTATGATGTGACTCATCCATCAAGTGCATAATAAGTACTCATCATCTATTCCTCAAGGAAAAGTGTCTCACAAGAAGAGTTAAAATAAACTTTCAAAAATTAGGATAGTAGGGTATAGAGGATACAAAGAATAAATTGGGATAGGGTAGTAGTAGTAGTACCACATGAATGTTCTTCTTCATGTTGCTGCAATGACAGCTTGTTCTTATTTGTTTCTAGCCTCTAGAAGAAATACTTCTGACAACATTCCTCTCTTTTGTTCTTTGCAAATAACTTTAGAGAACATGTAGGCTAAAAATATTCTCAGAAGTGAGCCCCAAATGAAAGCAATTATCATGGTACTCACCAACTTGTTTTCACCAGCATTCTCTACTGATCGAGACAACTACTAGTAAGTATCTTCCTCTTTTTTTTCCTTTGCTACTCTGTTCATCTTTAAGTATAAAGGTACCATAGATTGACCTTTGGTTGCCAAATCCAACCAAATCCAACCAAAACAAAACCATATRAGCKCAAAAGCACCTTYAAGATCWCAAGATATTGCCCAGAAAACTTTTAATTGGAGCATTTTGTGAGATGTAAAAAAAATCTTAATATTATATTTTACCTCGTGAACTAGAAGAGGCACTRGGATAGCCAGAACCATAACTTTTGGTGGAAAGTATGCTTCCACGTCACAGTATATTTTCATTCCTCCCATCTTGCATGAAACCAACAAGCAAAGCTTAAGAAGCAAAACATTCCCATTCTGAATGAATTTCTCCAAACCATTTCTTGCCGTCCTCAGTCTTGACTATGCATTCTTTTGGTTTGTCCAAGGAACAAAGCCATTGGTCAGACCCTGGGAGCTCCTCCAGCCAATTTTAAAGCACTCTGGTGATATTGAAGTTAATGATTTGATGGAGAAAGAAGTCTATCTTATAGTAGGCTTGGCTATGTTTTTCCATGCAATTTAATTTTACATTTTTAATAGTCGATATTTGTACAGTAATATAACCAAATATTCAATAACCCATATAAGAACCCCCATATCACTGAATTTGTCTTTTACTGGGATCCGATTCTTCATGTGCTTATCATTGTTAAGCGTTGGGGGCCAAGTTTTAGCTTTTTGAGTGAGTTGACCCTTAGTTAACATTCTACATGTTTTCTACTGTGCATCAATTTTTGGCTATCTTTTTATTGTGTAATGACTTGTGGGGGGATTAAAAATTGACTTCTAGCAGTAGTAGTACTACTACTAGTACTACTACTAGTAGTACTAGGGCTACAGGGGCATGTGCAAGCAAATTCAAACAGCACATGTGCATGCAAAACTAGTACTAGTTGGTCACACAGATGTGGGATTAAAAATTCAACATTAGGAGTACTACTATGTATTTAGTTTTTCAGTCCAAGTAGTCATTAGTGGTAGAACCAACAGAACAGCCTTACCCCATCAGCAGCAGTTCGCACCAGAGTCCATAATACTACCTACTACTGCTACTACTACTACTAGTACAACATCCCCACTAGTAAGTAGTAATAGAGATTGTCCAGTAGTAAATACTACTAATGGAAATTTTTAACTAGTAACCACTGATATTATATCCCCAGTAGTAACAACCACAAATAGAAATAAGAAGTGACTAGTTTTTTGTGTGGAGTGGGGTGGGGGGGGGGTACGGTAGGGGAAGTGCGAAACTTTATTTTTTTAGTAGTATTTTTAATTTTGAGAAGCCCTTCACCTATTAATTATTGGATTAAACGTCAANGATGTAACTGGGCCCCCCGGGACCAACGCGCGCGCGTCCCCCCTTCAATAACCAATGATTCTAAAATGTGGGTTATTTTACACAAAAAATAACCCATGTTTTGCAACGAGTACGTACGTAGCAACAGTACATGGCATTAGTACGTGGGATCAGTCGTGAATCCCCGGGACCAAAAACTATGATATCTATTACTTCGTACATAGGTCGAAAGGTACATAGTACTACTATATGAGTACCAGGTATGCTGCCGCCGTAGAAAATATTCGGCCTCCTCATTTTCTGTGGCTACTATTGGTAGCTGGCCTGAAAGGATATCTGGTACTACATATCACTGAGAGGTCTGGTTGTGGTTTCGTACCATTCCAAATTGCAAATTCTGGTGAAGCAGCCACAGAAAATCACAGAATGAACCTAAGGAAGCCTTCTAGATCCTAAATCATTGCACAGACCTATTCCCCTACCTCAGGGGGACTTCTCACAAGAAATCTGGAGGAATTCATTGGGAAATCAAGGAAGCACATACAAAACTTGGCCCTAGCAACTGCTTATTTAGCCAAAATCCCTTGTTTTGCCAAATTTGGTACATAAGATTTTTGTCCAGCCTGTCATTACAAGTAAACACCCATGCCTTTTTGAGGACCCTACTCCAATAAAGGGATAGGTCAGACTATCTATGATAAAGAATATAGTGGAAAGAAACTGCTTCCTTATCCAAAAAACACTGTTTCAGGACCTCTCAAAACTTTTTATTACTGGAATGCTTGTTTTGATGAATGCCTCTAGGAGGAATCCTGTTCATTTTTGCTAGCAGAGATCGGGCAAGCTCCCCGTGGCAGCATTAGAGGTAGCGTTCGACGACCCCTGCATCAACTTTTGCTTTGAGCCATCGTGCTCTGGCAATAACAACATCGCGGTTTATCCAACGATCTCTCAATTCAGAGGTAGAATCATTCTTTTGGAGGCATTCGTCACCATCACCGACCCTCCCGCTGCGAACAAATTTATCATAGGGTTTCCCTGTTTCCGGGTTTGTTTTCCAAGATACAGTAAGTGGTGTATATCGATGCCGTTCTTGTTTCATCGCATGAAACGTGCAATGGGGTACGACCCTCGAAACAACTTTGTCCAGATAATGATCGTCGGATACCACACTATTGTCGTCCAGTAGAAACTTCGCTATCCGTTTGGTTTCTTTCTCCAGGTCGTTCTTCATATCTTCGTAATGCAATAGGAGAAAATTGCTCCTGGTAGCTTCCGCACTAGTAGGTTGCTCTCCCAACCAGGCCTCGATGTGGTCTTGCCATTTTCCGTACAGAATGGTTCCGTCCATAAACTCTTCGCAAAACTCTCCGAAGGTTCCGGTGTAACCACCATCCTCCACGGATTGATTGGACAGGTGGTGRTAAAAACTAATCATGACATCGAGTGGATCACGCACAACATACACACGCTTGGCATTCGCAGGTAATTGATTCGGGCGCAAATGGGTGTTGAACACGCGATATTCATCGTCTGTCTCTCTCCCCCCATCGYGAATCCGTATWGGTGTCCGAACGGGTAAACGTTCCATAACTTGTTCGGCGGGATCAATRTTGTCGCTGCCGTTCGGTTGYGGCTGAATGGGTTTCCAGTATTGGTCTACTTCATAAAATGGAGCGGAATGAGACAAGTGCCAATCTTCTGGCAAAGGGCGACCCGCATTTGCGATTTCCCACAGCAACCGAACGACAATGTTTTGAGTCCACGTTGTTCCGCTCTTTGGATACGAGCAGATAAATACGTCTCGAGACGGAGATGTTTTCAGCGCTCGACATGCACGCACAGTCTGGTCACTTGTGATAGGCAAGAGCGGCATTTCCGGTAGAGAGTCACCGACGTGGCAATGATCATCGGGCAACATCTCGGGGTTCAACGGCGCCATTCCGTCTCGTCCTCGGCTATCAGAAATGGAACTCTCGATCGCTTTCGGCAAAACTATGACGAAAATTAGTAGGCGCCCGAATGTTCTAAGCGGCAGCGCAAATCTCCTTGTAGCGGCAGGCATGAATGCAATGCAAYGCATGTATTGATTACTGCAGTAGAACTAGAGTATTTTGAAGTTAGATTCTGTTCATGCTAAGAATCTGGTTCTTAGTCCACCGACTCGACTCTTTCTCGTATTCGTGCTCGCGGATCGCAAAAGCTCGTTCTCAAAGTGGTACGAGATACGCTTGTTTCATGTTTCGTTGATCGTTTACTAGTACTGTGATCGTTTAATCCATACGTATGGTACGTATCCAGGTACCGTATGTACTCGACAAGTATTCCATATTCCACACCGTTTTGTTGAAAATCCTCGGTCCGAATTCGTCCGGCAAAATGGAAATTTAGGTTGATTCTCAAATCTCAACAATAATTGATGTTATTGCCTACCAGCTATCACATACAGTACAATGCAGGTATATTTTGAAGAAATAATACCTGATACAGTAATTACTAGCAGGAATGAAACAAAAATGGAGTGACATGGAACAACATAAATAGCATTGACGCCTCAAATAACAACGAACCCCCCCCCATGAATTTTCGCTTGGTGTTCGTCCTCGCTCCTTGCTGGTGCCCAGTACCACTTAGTAGTATGATGTGACTCATCCATCAAGTGCATAATAAGTACTCATCATCTATTCCTCAAGGAAAAGTGTCTCACAAGAAGAGTTAAAATAAACTTTCAAAAATTAGGATAGTAGGGTATAGAGGATACAAAGAATAAATTGGGATAGGGTAGTAGTAGTAGTACCACATGAATGTTCTTCTTCATGTTGCTGCAATGACAGCTTGTTCTTATTTGTTTCTAGCCTCTAGAAGAAATACTTCTGACAACATTCCTCTCTTTTGTTCTTTGCAAATAACTTTAGAGAACATGTAGGCTAAAAATATTCTCAGAAGTGAGCCCCAAATGAAAGCAATTATCATGGTACTCACCAACTTGTTTTCACCAGCATTCTCTACTGATCGAGACAACTACTAGTAAGTATCTTCCTCTTTTTTTTCCTTTGCTACTCTGTTCATCTTTAAGTATAAAGGTACCATAGATTGACCTTTGGTTGCCAAATCCAACCAAATCCAACCAAAACAAAACCATATRAGCKCAAAAGCACCTTYAAGATCWCAAGATATTGCCCAGAAAACTTTTAATTGGAGCATTTTGTGAGATGTAAAAAAAATCTTAATATTATATTTTACCTCGTGAACTAGAAGAGGCACTAGGATAGCCAGAACCATAACTTTTGGTGGAAAGTATGCTTCCACGTCACAGTATATTTTCATTCCTCCCATCTTGCATGAAACCAACAAGCAAAGCTTAAGAAGCAAAACATTCCCATTCTGAATGAATTTCTCCAAACCATTTSTTGCCGTCCTCAGTCTTGACTATGCATTCTTTTGGTTTGTCCAAGGAACAAAGCCATTGGTCAGACCCTGGGAGCTCCAGCCAATTTTAAAGCACTCTGGTGATATTGAAGTTAATGATTTGATGGAGGAAGAAGTCTATCATAGTAGGCTTGGCTATGTTTTTCCATGCAATTTAATTTTACATTTTTAATAGTCGATATTTGTACAGTAATATAACCAAATATTCAATAACCCATATAAGAACCCCCATATCACTGAATTTGTCTTTTACTGGGATCCGATTCTTCATGTGCTTATCATTGTTAAGCGTTGGGGGCCAAGTTTTAGCTTTTTGAGTGAGTTGACCCTTAGTTAACATTCTACATGTTTTCTACTGTGCATCAATTTTTGGCTATCTTTTTATTGTGTAATGACTTGTGGGGGGATTAAAAATTGACTTCTAGCAGTAGTAGTAGTACTAGTAGTAGTACTACTAGGGCTACAGGGCATGTGCAAGCAAATTCAAACAGCACATGTGCATGCAAAACTAGTACTAGTTGGTCACACAGATGTGGGATTAAAAATTCAACATTAGGAGTACTACTATGTATTTAGTTTTTCAGTCCAAGTAGTCATTAGTGGTAGAACCAACAGAACAGCCTTACCCCATCAGCAGCAGTTCGCACCAGAGTCCATAATACTACCTACTACTGCTACTACTACTACTAGTACAACATCCCCACTAGTAAGTAGTAATAGAGATTGTCCAGTAGTAAATACTACTAATGGAAATTTTTAACTAGTAACCACTGATATTATATCCCCAGTAGTAACAACCACAAATAGAAATAAGAAGTGACTAGTTTTTTGTGTGGAGTCGGGTGGGGGGGGGGTACGGTAGGGGAAGTGCGAAACTTTATTTTTTTAGTAGTATTTTTAATTTTGAGAAGCCCTTCACCTATTAATTATTGGATTAAACGTCAAGAGCACGTATCCATGAACCCTACCGGTATTGCGGTACCGTTACATGATAGCACACAGGCAARACAATCCTATCCTACTTGACTGTGAACTTATGTTCCGCTAGTAAATAAGGTCAGTGGCATGTCCATTGCATTAGCGCCTCACTTCAAATTTCACAGTAGTACTWCGGCGAACATTTCCCGTCTCCGTCTCAACCGGAAGATTCAATGCTGATAAAAAAATAATTAAACCCCGCAGAAATCTACCATCGCTCGGTGCAAYTGAACATTACTTTCTAGAGGAGGTCAAGGCTAAATAGACGTCTAGATTTGTCTCCCGACCAACGGCATCTCGGGTGTCTTGAGTTGATGGTAGTTTTTTCATAGTTGCACCTCGGAAGCCGATTTCGGAAGCCGATTTCGAAAGCCGATTTCGAAAGCCGATTTCGATCTAGATGCTGCCTTCATGGGAGTGGGCGCTGACGGCATGCCTTGTTTTTATGTGCGCTGAGGTTGCTCGAGCCCTCGTCGGAAACGCTGGGGATTGCAGCTTGATGACTTTCGTAGATGTCACCTGGAAGTAAGTACTGAAAACACACCATKTAATTTTCTTTCGAAACAATGTCGATTCTTGATTTTGATTTGTCGCATGCGTCTCTCAACACTGCGACTCAAATATCCCAATGACGTYGAAACGTCGCAAAAAAGTGGCACCRGTGATATTAGGAAAGAGACTGAATTTGCATTTTCCCACATTGCAGCCGTTCTTTTGGCAGTGAGCGATTTCAATCAGCGGAATCCTTCCGTCGTACCTGAGCTGGTGTCTAATCCTTCAATTCAGCAGTGCAATTTCAATTTTGGGGAGATTATTGTGGAGGAYACGCAACATCTTGTGTCAAGGACGGTCGATAAACTTTATAACTACGTGAAACATGCCAACGAGCCTTGTGGAATGATTGGGAGCTATAGCCACTTTCCAATTCAGGATGTGAGTACATTCGCATCGGCGATGAAAGTTCCTATGGTAACCCATACTAGTTTGGGCACAGAACTCTCCATTTCAAACATGCAAAAGTACATTAGTCAATCGAACGCGTTGGCATCGCAGGCCATGAGACCGATGATTAAACACTTGCGGGACGATTTAGGCAGAGAAAATTATTATTCCATTCTGTATTCATCGAATCGACGAGAGTACCTGTCCTTAGCAAAGCTTCTAGAACACAAGTTGCACAACGAAGGGATTCAATCTCACATGCAAGGGTATAGTTCGATCAGTTACATCAGTAAGAAAATATCGAGTGGTGCTGATGACTTATACAACGCAACCGGAAGGATAAAAGAAATCGGGTACAGAACAATAATTGTCATTGGGGATAATACTGTTCTGAATCAATTCACTGGTTGGATTGATCAACTGGCTATAGCCGCGAACAGTCACGGTATGAATCAAGGGGAATATTTCTGGGCATTTTGGAACGACATGACTCTTTCAGAAAACGGTAATTTTCTGAACCACTTGCCAAAAGACGACTTGAGGTACAAACTTCTGTCGGGCGCAGTGGCATTTGATTTCATTGAACCATTTTTGCTCGATGGAGACGACGACAAATTCTTGAAGCATTGGAAAACACAGAACGACAGCATGGTTGAACAGTTAAATGCCATTAATCCTATCGCGGACAGTAAACCGGGATACTACGCACCGTCTGATGATTATTTTCAAACGATAACTCCCGCGCACGGATCGGCCTTTCTTTACGATGCTGTGATTGCTGTGGGGGTTGGTGCTTGTACCGAAGCTCACATTCTAGGTCGTAATGGCGACGTGAGCAACCTMACTGGTGCTGAGCACATCCAGGGCTTACAAAAGTCGGTGTTTAGWGGTGCGAGCGGTCATTTCCAATTCGACGAAAGAATTGGAGSCAATGTGCGAACATTTTCTTCSGGAATTTATGCAGCCTACAACCTATTACCTTTTGGTACTCAGMAGGGCTACAGAACGAATGCAATACTAGACCCAATGGTTAACTCAATGACTGCTGCTACATACAAGGAACCCGGAAGCGACAATTCTACATGGATTACAATTGACGAATTTATCTTTTACGGGGGTTTGCCAATGGGTAGCATTCCATTAATTGATCCAGAACGAATGAACTATCTTCCTCGGGCAGCCCAGATTTCTGGATTTACATTATATTCGATAGCCGTTGTCGGATTTGCGTCTTCGATGGTATGGATCGTTGTGCACCGRAATCATCCAGTTCTTTTGGCAGCGCAGCCAATTACCTTGCTAGCCATGAATGTTGGTGCGTTCCTGATGGTATCTACAATCCCGACAATGTCTTTTGACGAGACATCCGGGCTTACGGAAGCTGATCTTAGCAAGATCTGCACGGCAAATCTTTGGTTTTACGTGGTGGGGATTATTTTTATGTATGGYGCCATATTTGTGAAGGTGAGCATACAATAATCACAATCTCTCGCTTAGTGASGACAAACGCGACCGTTCTCAAATGTGTGTCCACATCTCCATTCTGCGTTTGAAATTTGTATTTTTACAGTTGGCGAGGGTGAACAAGGTTCTGCAATTCAGGAGACAAACAGTTACGTTCAAGCAGATTGCATTCCCGGTGTATATCATATTTACAGTTGCGGTGGCTCTGCTAATTGTCTAYACGATTCTTCACGGACAACAGTGGGATCGGGACGTCATCAACCAAAGAACAGGGGAATCCTACGGRAAGTGCAGCTCAAAAGGCCCCGAAGGCATGATTTATACGCTGATATGCATCAGTTTCGTTCCGATGGTGTTGGCGGTGGCGGCCGCGTGGAAAACGAAGGACGTCGAAGACTCGTTCTCCGAAAGCTGGTGGATCTTTGCCGCCACGTTTGTGAACACCCAGCTGTTTYTGGTCCTCGCTCCGATGGCTTATATTCTCGAGGATGCCAACACCGTCGGTTATTACCTGTGTCTAGTTTTCATGGCGTGGACGACAGCCGTATCGACCATCCTGATGGTTATGGTTCCCAAGGTGCTGGCCTTTCACGGATTGTWCGGGGGGGAAGCCGTGCAGAAAAGAGGGTGAGTCTGTTGTCTGCAAGGTTTGCGCGTTGGCGTGCGTCGTGGTTTGCTCCTTTCTCACGTGCGTGTGTTTGTCGCTCGCTTGTTGTCTRCGCGCCGGACGGCACGGCATGCCATCGTCAGTGCCCGGTCCGACCAGAATCCGAGGTCGTTCGAGAAGGGAATCTCCCGCGTCCAATCTCGGCCCGGAACGCACCAATCTTCGCCGACGCCGGTGCCTGTCCGTGCCTTGGCCGTAGACGGGGGATCGAGGAAACGGCATCGGGCGGACCGGGATTCCAACTAGACAGAACTCATCCKCGGCGACGCACCGCACCGCGGGGGAGTGTGCTGCATTCAAGAGAAACAAAATGGACGATGCTCTCTTAGCTAGTGGAGTCCCAGATCATAATTTGGATTGTATAGTACTRTCGTATGCACAGAAAACGAGAACGCGGATGCTACAATCATGGTTTGGTGTGACAGAAAATACAGTGCATGTTTAGTTTTCTCTTTACTCCACCATCTCCAATATCCAAAAAAAATTACTTCGTACTACTAGCAAGACGCAGCTGGCAAAAASTGGTTGCTGCTTGTCCCAAATCATTGTTTCTCCTCTCTCTCCGGCCGTCCTAAGCTTCGCGTTGCTTTGCTTTGCTTCCCTCCATCGATCGAATCGCCGCGRCACTCCGCGTGCAGACGCAGCGGGCGGTCGTTGTTCGGTGCAACCCCACCGCAACGGCCCGGTCACTCTCTCGGGGCCGGAGCGAGTGCGAGTCCCCGTGCCGCTTCCCGGGTCCCGTCTCCCCGTGGCGTCGGCGACGGAGTGATCGACCGGAGCGTGGTGGTGGTGGTGGCAGAAGCAGCGGCGTTCGGGGCCGTTCTCGTCGTGGTGGTTCCGGGGTGCCCCGAAAGCGACGTCGCGGCCGAGAGGAGCTGGTTCAGCGGCGACACCACCGCCGCATCCGTGGTGGGACCTGCTGCAGCAGCCGCCGCCGCCCGCCCTTTCGGTGGCAGGGTGGCCTTCTTGATTTTCTCCCGGACCATCTCGTAGGCCGAGGCGGCCTCGTGCTGCGTGTCAAAGACCCCGATGTACCGGGACCTGCCACCGAAATAGAGCTGGGCCTGGAATTTCCCCGASGGACGAACGGTGATCCCCCGCAGGACGTCCTTGTCAAAGGCCTTGGCGGGTTTGTGCTCGTGTTTGTGTTGGTGTTCGTTCCCGTTCGTCGGGTTGGTTCCGGCGGGGGCCGGTTCGTTCCYTTGGTGGGTTCCGGCCGCCTTTTCCGCTCGGCGCTTCCTCTTTTCGGCAAAGACGCAGAGAACCTCGGTCCGGATCGCCTTCCACGTTTCGTTTTCGGCGGCCCTCTGCTTCGAGAGCCCCTCGCTGCCGGTGGGGTTCCGGCTGGTTTCGTGGCGTTCGCAGTTTCGGGCCCCGTTGTTCGTTTTGCCCCTGCCTTTCGGGTCGGTGCTTGTGCTGGTGATGGTGCCGGTGCTTTTGTTGTTGCCGCGAAACGGAGCCACCGCATGCGGCGCGGCCTGCTTCCGCTGAACGSCCCCCCCGGCCGGTCCCCTCGGAACCACCGGCCGCGGCTGGGTGGCGGAGGTGTAGGGGCCGTAGTGCCCCGGCGGGGGGCCCCGGTGGTGGTTCTGCTGCTGGTGCTGGTGCGGGACCTTTCCGGGCTTGGGCTTGGGGTGGCCCACCACCACGGGCGGGTGGCGGAGGTGGTAGGAAGCCCGCAGGCCTACCCCGGCGTGGGGATGGGGGCCGAGGACGTAGGGGATTGGSGGCCAAAAGGCGGGCACCGGTGGGGGATGGACCGCCTGGACCGTGGCGGGGGGAGGGGGCCTCTGGACCACCGGGAGGTCCTGCCCCGGGTGGTGGAGGGGCCCGCCGGTCTTCTCGCTGGTGTGGTGGTTTTTCTTCTTGTTGTTGCTGTTGTTGTTGTTGCTGTTGCTGTTGCTGCCGCTGTTGCTGGTGTTGCTGCTGCTTCCCGTGTTGCTTGGCTGGGTGCTTCCGGCCCCCCTCCCGATCGGCACGCTGGGTGGCGCCTGCACAAGGTGCCTTTCACCGCGGAGCGGAACGGCCCGGGAACGAGAGGCCCAGGCGGAAGGGTGGTGCGAGGAAAAGGCCGAAACCGGGGCGGCCAGGGAAGCCTTCCCCGGAAGGATGCGGTGGGACAACGCGTGTTCGGTAGTGGCGGAAGAAGCAGCCGAAAAAGCACGAGCCAAAGCCGAAGCGGCCCCTTCGCCTGGCCCGGTTGGAGGTTCCTTTTCGCGGTCCACCACTACCACCCGTCGTTTCTTGAAGGGCCCCTGCTCGGGCGAGGAAGACGCCTGCTTGGTGGTCCCGGTGTGGTCCGGGCTCGCCGCGGTGGGAGAAAGGGACGTTGACGTTGACGTTGACAGCGACGAGGAGGACAGAGACAGCGAGGACGACGCGGCCAGGGAGGGCGCGGGGGAGGACGCGGCCCGGCCTCCGGAGGCCCTTGGTGGGCCCGTAGCAGCCCTTGCGGCCCGCGTTGCGCTGGATGGGTCGAGGTCGTGGTAGTGGGGGTTGCTCTTGCTCTTGCTCTTGCAGTTGCCGCTCTTGCTGCTTCCGCTCTTGCGCTTGCGGGAATCCCTCCCGGTCCCCTTGTCGGCCGCCTTGTGTGGCTGTGGCCCGGGTGCTGCCTTTCCGAGCTTTTCCTTGAGGTCCCCGAGGGCCTCCCTGGCCAGGTTGTAGGCCCTTGCGGCCTGGTGGGGCTCGTCCCAGACGCCGATGTAGCGCGTCTTGCCGGCGTAGTAGATCTGTGCCTGCCAGGCCCCCGAGGGCCGGCGGGTGACGCCCTTGGGGAGCTCCACGGGGGAAGAAGCTCTGGCGGGCGCCTTGCTTTGCGCCAGAGACAGAGAAAGCGGCGTTTGCGGTTCCGTTTTCGTTTGCGGTTCCGTTTGCTCCGTCTGCTTGGACACCTCCCGCCGGATGGCCCGCCAGTGTTCCTCGACGCCGACGATGATCCGCATCTCGCTGCTGCTGATCCGGAGCTTGCTGTTGAGCGTGGCGGTGTGGGCCGCGGATTCTCCCAAAGCACAAGGCGGACGGCTTGGAATGCCCTGGAGGGTGCTCTGAATGGTGCCCTGCAGGGTGCCCTGAATGGTGCYCGGGACGTGGAGCGGACCGGGGGGATTCCCGGCACCGCCCCTCGGCTCCGGCGGCGCGGGATACAGAGAGCCAAACGCACCGGTCCCGCTGGTGGTGTGGCCAACCGAATGGCTGCCAGTGTGGCCGACAGAGTGGCGAACGGCGCAACCGACATAGTCGCTGCTTCCAAAGGGGTCCTCCCGCCGGTGCTTCGTCATCCTCGCCATGCCCACCAGCAGGGCGGCCGCGGCGTTGCTGGAAGGGGACCGGTCCAAAGCAACCCCTGCGTAGGCTTTTGCGTTTGCGTTTGCTGCTGCGTYTGCRKCTGCGTCTTTCTCCGAGCGGGTTCCGCACGAGGTGACCACCGCCAGCGTTGGCGGTTTCCTCGGCGTGGCCGTCCCCACTCGAACGGGTGGGACGGATCCCTTGGCCGCTGCTCGTCCCGTTTCCCCCCCCGCTGCGCCTTCTTCCCTCGGGCTCATGCTTCGGTTCGGTGTGCTATTGTATGGTATCGTGTGGTATCGAATGGTATGGTATCGTGTGGTATCGTATCGTTTGGAATTGGTTCGAAACGAAACGAATGGAAACGAACCCCCCCCGGTGGCTTTCTTCCTTCCAGGCTTGCTGCTGCTGCTGATGGTGGTGGTGCTAGTGTGCTATGCTGCTACGCTGTCGTTCGTGGAGCAACGCGGCGGAACCTCTGCGCTGCGCTGTGTTGTGTTGTGTGGGTTCGCGCTTATTGGTTGGCTTCGCTTCGCTTCGCAATGGCCAATGGTGTGCTTCGGCATCTAGGGTACAGTACAAACGACGGTGGAAGTTGGCTTTGCAGGTTGGCTTTGGTCCCTTCTTCGCGGTGTTTACTGATGCGATGTGGTTGTGGTTGCGTTTGCGTTTGCGTTTGCGTTTGTGGTTGCGTTGGAGTGTGTGGCAAAGCACTCCCTCTGCCGTGTGATTGGAACGATGGGCGGGGTATTTCGGCCCGGGTGTCGGTCCGATGCGATGAGATGCGATGCGATGCCTTGGATCGGAACGGAACGGAATGCGGCGCAACCGAGTGCAAATGGCGTCGTAGTTTGGGTGCGTTGGAAGAGATGTCACTCGGGTTGCGCGGACCGGGCGGAACCGAATGCAATGCAATGCAATGTTATTGGACGGAACGCTGCGGATGGATCTCCGGAAGCCTACGAGTGTATCGTGCTCGTACACAGGCAATTGCGGTGCCGTAGTAGTGGTCGTGTCGTATCGCGTCGTATCGTATCGTTTCGTTTCGTATCGTACCCGTGGTCGCACCGTATCGTATCGTATCGTATCGGGGACCGCCGTTTGTCTCTCACAACAACAATATCTTTCCCCCGGGACGGCAATCTGCCTGCCAATGCTTTGCTTTCGGTCCTGGGAAGGCAAACGGAATACAAAACCCAACACGTGAACGATTGCGAAAGGATTCCTCGCTCACCTAACCGTCCCGTACGATCGCACCGTACGGAATGATGGATTGAAAAAAATAGTTAGGATTCCTCGATCCGTGTTTGGCCAATGCCGGAAGGGCCGCTACTCCACCGCACGGTAGACGGCCCCGTAGATAGAAAAAAATAGCGTCATTCGGTTTTCGGTTTTCCTTCCCTCGATCGGAAGAACGAAAGAAGATCGTTTTCTCTGCCTCATTTATTGAACCAATCCATCTGCCTGCGCTGCGTCGGTGCGGTGCGGTCCGGTGGGTTCCGTTCGTTTGCAGGAAAGGAAACCGCACAACGGGAAGACACCGGCGGCGTACGCACCGCCGCGTCATTGTTTCGGGGTGTCTTTTTCGGGTGTTCGGTTTTGGCGAGGGTGTCGCAGGTCGCAGTTCGTTCATCGCTGCCCTGCCCTCTGCTCCCGCGCCGTTCCGAGGCAACGGAACCGACGACGCGTACGGTACGGTACCGTACGGAACAATACTCGTATGTAGTGCACCGTACATACTTGTACCCTATCGTAGAGCTCTCCTTGCGTTTTGGTCGCCTCTCCGGTACGATACCAAACAACCCCGTTTCGCACCGTACGTTGCGAACGCAGTCCTGCCGCAAGACCCGGTCGCGGGAGATTCGGCGATTTTTACGGCGGTTAAAACTACAATGCAGTACTTTACTTTACTTTCCCCCGCAAGCACGACCACTCCCCGTTCGGCCAATGGGAATGCAATGCATGCATTCGCTGGTTCGTGTTACAGGAAAGGCCTGTACAATACCGTACGGTACCGTACGGACGCATCCTAGGCAAACGGTAGAGAACTCGTCGTAACGGCACTTTAACCCGTTCCGTTGACCGCCGAAACAAATCATAATCCTACCGTACGTACCCGGCCAGCACCGCAACGAACACTACCCGCATCATCATCATTGTCATTGTCATTGTCATTGTCGTTCCGTGAGCGATGCAAGCGCTAGCTGGCTTGCGAACCCTTCCGAACCGCATGGCAGCAAACCATCTGCGGATCCACGAACCGACCTACGGTACGGTGCTGACTCGACCGATTGTTCTTTTGTTCTTTTCGTTCTTTCCTTCTGTCCTTCTGTCTCACCGTGGTGCGATGGCATGGCATTGCTATTGTTTGCTTCTGTACTACCGTGCCGTACCGGTACGATGCCGTTCACAAAGCCAATAGAGCAGAGGACATGCGGAAGGTAGAAGTACTCGTACTCATTTCAGACGCCAATGCCAATGACGAGTCCAAGAAACAAGAGGTATCGTATCGCATCGTACCCTCCGGTATGGCACGCAGGGATTTTCCATTCATCCTTGTTGTTTCCTACTGCTTTCCTCGATAGTAACGAGTCTAATGAATGGAAGCAAAACAGTATCTGCACACAGCAGATCTTTGTTCAATGCAGTTCCGCAATGCGATAGCACAACAAGAGTATTACTAACTAGTCTAGCGGACGACGCACCGCTATGCTATTGGAATTTCTTATTCTACTATTACTGTTACTACCGTACAGCTGACACGAACAAGAAGTACCTGTGTGACTCTACTAGCTAGTACTGTGCAAGATCTAGCTCGTACCATAGTGTTTCGTGTGTTTCGGCACCTTTTTGTTGTTGTTTCTGTCACTCTGTGGAACGGGAAGAAGAATGAGTGGCTGCGATGTTTATGAATCTACCACTGCTGCTGAGTTCGAGAGAGGTTTTGTGACTGAAAACTACTTCGTTCTATTGTACGAATACTGTAGTACGTACAGTACTTAGTACTCATACTGTACCAGCGTAGGTTTCGTTCCTTGTCGTGTCATGGCACGGGAAGGCAGGAGAGACCAGAAGGGAAAGAATGAAATGAAGGAATGAATGAATCGAATCTTCCCGATTTTTGCCATCGGCTGACACCTTCGTGCGCACTGTTTTGTTTTTTGGGATTGCGACCAATTCTTAGAAAAGGACGGAAGCGTGTCGTAGGGTTCCGTTTGCAGCCGGGTACCATCCGATACCCGTAAGTGCAAGAACCTTGCGTTACTGTACGTACGTTGCAACCGGATCGATGCGCACCGCACCGTAGCGTATGTACCGTAGTGTACTCTGTGTACGGCACAGTAGATACCTCGAAACTTGAATTCCCCTGGCTTCTAGCAGTACGTACATTAGTGGTAGAAGTACCGTACAGTACTCACTTGWAGTACAATAGTACGTAAAGGYTYGCCTTCCGTACTCCCTGATTCCAGCACCATTGGAAGTCGCGTGAGATCGTTCACCGGTTTACATAGGGTCCTCTGTTTCTACCGAAGCACTAGTTTTTGAGAATGTTGACACCTCCCGTAATGCTACTCGCACCATTCGGTTCCATCAGCCAACTTCGTACCATTACGTACTGAACCTTCGCTGAGACGCAAGGCAATCCCAATTGTGTTGCCGCAGACCGCAACGAGCCCAAAAAAAAACTAGACACCGAGTATTGCTTGGCCTGTCCGCAACAAAACAGGACGCAGATTCAAAACCGAATCCTTTTTCTTTTTCTCTCGTGCAATCCAGGGCTGACGCAAATGAACGAATGAACCAGAACCGAAACGAATCGTAACGAATCAACACCGCCACCAACGATAGACAGCGGCAACAGCAACGGCAACAGCCACGGCTAAGTCGCCAGCAGCAACATCAACAGCTACGGCATACCCCTGAGGATTTTGTTACTCGGTCTCTCTCTCGGAATCGCATCGCACGGTACTCGTACTCTATTGCTCTGCCCACGAACTCTGCTGTTTAGGTAGACAAGGACGGCATTGGAATTGCAATCCATCCAACCGCATCGATCGTGCATCCGAAGTGAGGAAGAGAAACCAACCGCTGTATGGACCAACCGCCCCACAACAACTAATCCATCATCGGTTGCAAGCAACGGAGCGGAAGAACGAACACCCATCGGTATTGCAAGGGCAGCGCTTGGCGGGTACCATCCGGAGCGCAGGCATGGCGGATCGCAAAAGGGCCGACGGGTACGAAGACCACGGGTGCTGCGACACCAGCGACGATCCAATGGTTGGACCGGGGGAACCCGGGGCTAGATCGCGGGACGCCGTGGCGTGGATCCCGCCGGGAGCCGCTTCGGGCGATGTCCACGAGCCACCAAGACACACCAAACCCCCGGCGCCGGGCAGGGGAAGGCCGGCCCTTCCCGCGACGCCTCTGGCGCCGAACCGCAAGGGAAGAATACGGACCCGGAAGAACTGGAAAACCGGACCGCAGGAAACGCGTTGCTTTGTTCGGGGACGCGAACCGGAAACGAGTCCTTTGGCGGGCGAACGAGAAGACCGGAAGAAGAGGAGAGCTGCCTTTCTCTCTGCCGCATTGATCGCTGGATTTGTGTCTGTGCTGGTTTGTTGTTCGATCGGTGCCGTTCGAACTGCAACGTCTACGAGGCATCCCTCCTACTGTGGGGAGGAAGGAACGAACCATCACTGCGGCAACGATACACAACCGGGGATAACAACGGAAGCAGCAACAGGGAATGACAGGCTCTCAAAGTTGGTTGCAACAAAACGAAGCAAACATCCCTTGGTGCAAACCAAAATCAACACTACTGCCACGAACAACTCTTCCACGATAGATGCAAGTCCCGACGAACACGGAAGCAAAAACACGACCCATTACCTGCCTTGGTCGTCGTATTCTCCCGGCCTTCTGCCTGCTTGGGCATCGTCCCTATCACGGATATTGCCAGACCTGGGGAGAGGCGATCGCCAACAAACGGAGGACGACGAAGAAGTCGTGCCACTGATCGATCACTTGCGAAGGAGATTGTACGGAAGCAGAGACAGTCCATCGTCGTCGTCTTCCTCGACCTCATCTTCGTCTTCATCGTCGTCGTCGTCGTCGTTCTCGCCCGACACCGGAAAAACAAACGATCCACAATTGGTCATTGCCGGGAAGATGACCGTCGACGACGCCCTCTGCAACATTGCTCAATACAACCTCAGGACTAAAAAGTGGTCCCTGACGGAACGCATTCAGTTGAGTTTGTACAATTCCTATTCGGGTGGCGAAGTCTATTCTCTATTGGCGAACCACACCAATACTGCGGAAGCCGCATCGATCAACCCAACGAATTCGATCGTGCCCGCCAATTCACACAGCAAAACGAAAAACAAAATCCGAACCAAGAGCAGTGACAACGAAGGGAGCGGGGAACTCATCGTGGTGGGTGCCTTTGATACTACGTATCGCAACAGCCAAGTCACGTACTGCTCGGTTGGAAAGTGGGACGGGTCCGAACTCTCCAAGGTCGGCGAAGGATTGTGTAATTCTGCCTTGTCCAAAGGTATGAAAATCACGACAGCGGCCATGGCAGGACCCCAAGACGTCTACGCGGCCGGGTCGTTCCAGACACAGGTGTGGAACGGTGACAGGCACGAATTCGTCAAGATCTACAACATTGCCCATTACAATGCTGCCGGGGAGGGAGGGCCGGTTTGGCTTCCGCTCAACGTYGGACAAATAACGTGTTCTTGGTGTACCGTCACGGTCTTGGCCCTGGCATGGGATGCCAAACGGCAGCAATTGCATGTCGCTGGGAAATTTAACGCCATAGACGGACGGAATGTTCCAGCGGGCTTGGCTATTTACGATTTAAAATCGGGACGATTGGTGGCGCATCCAGGAGGCGGTCTAGCTATGAAAAACCTGACGGAAGATGGGGTCGGAACGGCGCTTCAGCTGGACGAAGAAAAGGGCGTTTTGTACGTGATGGGGTCGTTTGAACGATTGACGGCCACGGYGGAGGTGTGTATCGGTTTGGCCGCGTACGACATCAATTCAAACCGCTGGACGTGCCTTGCAAATTCTGCACATACCGTACAGCCAACAGGAGGCGGGAATATGATTTTGACGCCATACGGCCTAATGGTGGCCGGGAAAACATCCGGGAAAGAAACTACTTGGGAAGACGATAGCCGGCCATATACGATTGCTCTTCTGCACACCACGCTGAAGACACACCAAGTAGACAACCATACCGATACCGTTTCTGCTTCTTCTCACGAGAAAAGTCACGAAAAGGTTACGAAAAGTTCAGGGAAGACGTTTATGTCTCCCGTATCATCGTTGATATTGTCAACTGCGAATAAATCATCTTTCGAAGAAACACATGGTATTAGAAACGCCAATAACRAGAGCGATAGTGCTCGRTCACAACCTAAAAATGTCTCCTACCATGAATTTGAATGGTCCTGGCTCCCTGGTTTCCATGGTAACGACGAACCGCTACATGCCTTGGCTAACGGATTTGGTGATCACGAAGGTGCTGTTTTCATTGCAGGAGATAA